TCACTATTCGCAGATAATATGATAATATACTTAGAGAACCCTAGAATCTCTACCAAGAAACTCCTAGAAACAATAGACTTGTATAGTAAAGTTGAAGGCTATAAAATCAATACCCAAAAGTCCATGGCTTTCCTATACGCAAACAGTGAGAGAGAAGAAAGTGACATGAAAAAAAATCCCGTTCACAATTGTATCCCAGAAAATCAAGTACCTAGGAATCAACTTAACTAAGGAAGTAAACGACCTGCACAAAGAAAACTACAAAACGCTACATCAGGAAATGAAAGAGGACATGAGGAAGTGGAAAGATGTCCCCTGATCATGGATCGGGAGAATTAACATAGTCAAAATGGCAATTCTTCCCAAAGCATTGTACAAATTCAATGTGATCCCTATAATGATACCGTTGACATTCTTCAATGAAATGGAGCAAACACTCCTGAAATTCATATGAAACAATAAGCCCCCACAAATAGCCAAAGCAATTCTTGGAAAAAGGAAAACGGGAGGAATCAATGGCCCAAACTTCAAACTATACTACAAAGCAGTCATAATTAAAACAGCATGGTACTGGAACAAAGGCAGAGCTGCAGACCAATGGAACAGGGTTGAATATACTGACATCTCCCCTCAAAAATATGATCATCTAATCTTTGATAAAGGACCAAATGTTAAGTGGAGTAAGTAAAGCCTCTTTAACAAATTGTGCTGACAAAACTGGACGGCCATGTGCAAAAAAATGGGCTTAGAACTCTGCCTAACACCAAGTACAAAAGTAATATCAAAATGGATAAAGACCTCAACATCAGACCAGACACCATAAGGTACATTAAAGACAAAGTTGGCAAAACCCTCCATGACATTGAGGCTAATGGTATTGTCAAAGATGCCACGCCATTGGCCGAGCAAGTAAAAACAGAGATAGACAAATGGGACTATCTTAAACTAAGAAGTTTCTGCACGTCAAAAGAAACAGTGACCAAAATACAAAGACAGTCTACAGAATGGGAAATGATATTCGCCGAATACACATCTGACAAGCAGTTGATATCAAGAATATACAAAGTACTGGTGGAATCCACAAGAAGAAAACATCCAACCCCATCAAAAATGAGGTGATGAAATGAACAGAAACCTTCTCAAAGAAATCCGAATGGCAAAAAGGCACTTGAGAAAATGCTCTACATCATTACTCATCAGGGAGATGCAGATCAAAACCACAATGAGATATCATCTCACACCACAGAGATTGGCTCACATCCAAAAGAACAAAAGCAACTGGTGCTGCCACGGATGTGGCGAGAAAGGGACCCTCCTTCACTGCTGGTGGGAATGCCAACTGGTTCAGCCCTTCTGGAAAATAGTATGGACAATTCTCCAAAAATTAGAAATCGAGCTCCCATTTAACCCAGCAATACCATTCCCGGGAATATATCCCAGAGAGGCAAAAAAAAAGTATAGCCAAAGTGACATCTGCACTTGTTTGTTCATTGCAGCACTCTTTACAATAGCCAGAATCTGGAAAAAAAAAAACCTGAGTGCCCCAGAACAGACGACTGGTTAAAGAAACTTTGGTACATCTACACAATGGAGTACTATGTAACTGTTAGAAAAGATGAAGTTATGAAATTTACATACAAGTGGTACAACATGGAAAGTATCATGCTAAGTGAAATGATCAAAAAGAGAGGGATAGACATAGAAAGATTGCATTCATCTGGGGGATATAAAATAACAAAATATGAGATTAATACCCAAGAATAGCTGAGATCAGCACTAGGAGGATTACTCCATAGCTTAGTGGCCAGCCGGGCATTCTAGAGGAAAGGGCAGCTCAGATAGAGAAGGGAACACCAAATAAAGGGTGTTTGGAGGATCCTCCCAGGAGGGGAGCTGCATGTCGAAAGTAGACTATGGACTGAACATGTTTGCCACTCAATGCCTCTTTTGCAGGCCACAACACCCAAAAGTAGAGAGAGAACACAGGGGATTGCCCTGCCCCAGAGGCAGGGGGGGATGGGGGGATGGGGGTGGGGGGATATTATCCATGGTGGTGGAAAATAGGCACTGGTGGAGGGATGGGTATCTGATCATTGTATAATCGAAACCCAAGCACAAAAAATTGTAAATCTACAACTGTACCTCATGGTGTTTCACTAATAAAAAAAATAAGTTAAAAAATAATAATTTTATTATTATCATTAATAATAATAAATTATTATTTATTAATAATGGAAACCATCCATTGGAAAACCAGCAGGACTGTACTACTATACAAGAAGGGAGACATCCATGACATTGGCAGCTATCGCCAATCTGCCTATTGTCTGTCATCTACAAGCTGTTCACTCGAGTCATCCTGAATAGGATTGGCAGAACACTAGATGAAGGACAATCATGCGAGCAAGCCGGGTTCCAAAAAGGATTCGGCACCATCGACCATATCCACACAATAACCAAGCTCATTGAGATTTCTCAGGAGTTCAAGATGCCACTCTGTCTAATGTTTATTGATTTAAAGAACGCTTTGATTCTGTTGAGACGGAAGCAGTCATTGAAGCCCTAGCCAATTAGGGCATTCAAATTCAATACATCAAGATCCTCAGTGAGCTGTATTACAGATTCACTACCAGGATCTCACCATTCTACAAAGAAGTGATCATCTATGGCAAGAGAGGGGTTCGGCGGAGTGATACTATTTCACCAAAACTCTTCAGTGCCACCCTCGAGAACGTCATGCGACAACTGGAATGGGAAGGAATGGGAGTGAAGATAGATGGTCGGCAACTGCACCACCTCTGCTTTGCTGATGACATCATTCTAATAACACCAAACATCAGCCAAGCGGCACAAATGCTGACCAACTTCGACCGTGAGTGAGGAAATGTTGGATTACAGCTGAATCTCACAAAGACAATGTTCATGAGAAACGGTCTTATTCCTGACATTCCATTCGCTCTCAACAGAACAAACATCTCCGAATGCAACAGTCATGTGTACCTAGGTCAAGAAGTCAACATGACGAATGACCTGGCACCTGAGTTGTGCAGGAGGAAGAGAGCGGCTTGGAACGCCTTCAAGAGCGTTGAAGAAATAACTAAGAGGATGAAGAACCTCCAGCTATGAGCACATCTCTTCAATTCCACTGTTCTTCCTGAATTAACATACACCTCAGAGACCTGGGCCCTACACAAACATGACAAGAACACTATTCAGGTCTCTCAAAGAGGAATTGAAAAAGCTGTGCTTGGAGTATCACGTTTCACTCAAATGAGAGAAAGAATCCAGAGTTCCGACCTCTGTCAATGCTCAAGAATTAGGGACGCTGTCTTGTTTGCCAAGGCATCGAAATCAGATGGTCTGGACACGTAATGAGATTTGGAGACAGCTGCTGGACTAGAGCCATTACCTACTGGATTCCATGGAACATCAAAAGATCGCATGGCCGCCCACCTACGAGATGATCAGACTCCTTTGTCTGATCTGAATGATCCGTTTGAGGCTCTTCGTTTTCCTAGAATGAGCAGATGCCATTGGGCTACACTAGCACGCAACAGGGATGAATGGAAACGTTACTGGTGCCCGCTTGAGCAAATCGATGAGTAACGGGATATCAAGTGATCAAGTGATCAAGTAATAATAATAATAATGAACTCTTGATTTTATACAATCTAACAAGTCTATATGTACTTTGTTTCTAAAGTGCTCTGAAACAGATTGCTTTCAAAGTAGGTTAGATTTAAAACATTCAAGAGATAAAATGGGAAACTCAGAGAAATGCACAGTAGATTTACTCTGAACATATGTAAAATCATAGTTTTTTATTTATTTATTTTTTAATTTTTATTAGTGAAACACCATGAGGTATAGTTGTAGACTTACAATTTTTTGTGCTTGGGTTTCAGTTATACAATGATCGAGTACCCATCCCTCCACTAGTGCCCATTCTCCACCCCCAGTAATCCCAGTATCCCTCCCACCCACCCCCACCCCCCCCATCCAACCCTGCCTCTGTGGCAGGGCACTCCCTTTTGTTCTCTCTCTCCTTCATAGTTTTTTTAAATGCTTTACTTTAATGTCAAATACCTATATGCGCATTTCATCATATCATTCACTAGCAGATGGTCAATATAAATAGTAAATCCCTGTTTTTCCTCGGTCATTATGGTCATAGTCCTCCCGTTGTTCATCAATTTGCTCGAGCGGGCCCAGTCACATTGTGAGACTTATTACTGTGTTTGGCATACCAAGTACATCACGGGTAGCTTGTCAGGCTCTGCCGTGCGGGCGAGATACTCTCGGTAGCTTGCCGGGCTCTCCGAGAAGGGCGGAGGAATCGAACTCGGGTTGGCCATGTTGGCTGCGTGCAAGGCAAACGCCCTACCGCTGTGTTATCGCTCTAGCCCTTGTTTTTCCTCATTTTTTAAAAACCATTCCTTGTACACAAAGTACTATAGGAACCCAAGAAGTAAATTTTACATATTTTTAAATGAAGAATACATGGTACAAAAAAGTAAAACTAAGCTTGTCTAGTTGTTCTTAATGGGTTTAAAGTAGAGCCAAAGATATGGTTCTTGAGTATCTGACACAGCATCATGCCTCTGCCATGACTCCTCTCTCTTTTATTCTAAATTCCAGAATTATGTGAAATGGCAGATAAATATTTAAAATGAAGGACTTCAGAAGGAAATATTATGTTTCTAAATCTCAATAACCATCCATTCCTAAATATCCCCCTCACAAGAACAAAAAACAGAAAATCAATTAAAACAAGTGTCTTACTTGTGGTCTTGGGAAATTACACTGGTAAAGGGATGGGTCTTGGAACATTGTATGACTGAAACACAATCATGAACAATTTTGTAATGCTCTATCTCATGGTGATTCAACATAAAAAATAAAAATAAAAAGTATCTTCTTTAATATATATATGACAGAATATATATATATGTATATATTTCCCAAATGACAGCTCCTTGTCTCTCTGAGGTAACACATAC